TCACCTCAGCCTCCCAAAGGCGCGGGATTACAGGCTGAGCCACCGAGCCTGGCTCAAAACAGTTTTTTTAAACTTTATTTTATTATAAAGATGTGGAGTACAAGTCAGGATTAGGTATACAGCAAAACAGTTTCTGAACTCATTCATTTTTATGGCTTTTAGTGCTTCTGCTGCTTTTTGTTTCACCTCTTCTACATCAGTAAAACGCTTCCATTTGAGGACTTTTTTTCATCGGAGAAACAAATAAAGTCGCTAGGGGTGAGATCCAGTGAACAGGAAGGATGGGGCATGGAGATCATGCCATGTCTGGTCAAAAACTACTTAACACCCAGCACAGTGTGGGCAGGTGCACTCCTAAATAACCCATCATGAAATGGGCAAACATGTTGAAAGAATCTCCCCCAAAAAATTCACTGAGGCTGAACACAGCTTCTCACAACAACACTAGCTGGTACACTGATGATGATGGGTTCCTAAAACACTTACCTAAGTGAGGGAAGTCCGTACTACAAGGGGTCTGCCCACCAAAAAATAATTTTGGCTTTTTTGGGGGGGTCCTACTCATATGTGTGCCTGAATAGAGAGAAGGAGAATGATTCATCTCTTCTTCTCATTCTCAATGTGTAAGATCTTAGCACATGAGAAAATTTTCCATGCAAAGAGGAAGAATTACTATGTATATTACAGCTAGTAGTCCATAATTAAGCATCACTCAGCAGTTCAACATATTAAATAAGTATTAGGAAATCTAAACGTTAAGATTGTGAAGATCTTTTCATGGACAGCATTGTAAAATTGCATTCCAGTAAGTTTGACTTGGTCTCAAGGAATTTTCAAGAGGATGAGACCTCGAACAATCTAGTTCAACACCTTTATTTCAAGGACAGAAAAACTAAAGCCAGAGAAATCAAGCCCCCTTTTCACATTCAGCTAACTAATCCTTGACTGAACGAGGGTTTTACTCTGGGTCCGCTGAGTCACTGTTTCCTGCTTTGCCCACTAAGTTTAAAGTAGACTTAGATTCAAGCTCCCCTTATTACCCAGGGGAAAAAGTGGCTTCCCCACATTCTTAAAGGCAGAAGAATTCAATGAAAATAATTAAATTTTATGGTCAAAATTGTTACAGAGACAAAAATGATTTCTATTCATGTGTCAAAGGTCAACGATAACAGAAAAAAATTAAGCTCTTATTGAAGATAAAATAGCAATTTAGAAGTTGTAGTCTTTTATTCCAAAGTTAATTTAGCAGCAAAATCATACTCAGAATCTATTTCTACCAAAAAGGAGCAAATATTAAAAGATCAAACTGTTATAACCCTAGTAAAAAAAATGAATATTAGAATGTGTTCTGGCTGGGACCAATAGTTTCCACCTAACAAGAAGAGTCATCTACAGGGGTACAATCAGTAATAACTTTGATTCTGACTCTCCAAGAAGGGGTCACATTCCTTTTTAGCATCTTCTATGCATCCTAAATTGCTGAAGAGCTGCTTCCCAAAAGTATTAAGAGCAAAGTCTTAATTCTCCTTGAACTTATATTACCCAGGCCACTGCATTGTTATCTTTGCCAAATAACTGAGAAATGATCAAATTATCAAATTCACACATTGATGTATGTATAATATTCAAATAAGTGATATCAAAGTACTATCAACATAAAAAGGCTTAGATTAGTAAAAAGTTCTAGAGAACAAATACACAGTTAAAAGTGAACCTACACAATTCATCAACAATATATTTTCTCAGATTATAAAAATGCATCACAGATTGCCAATAATTTGAATAGTCTGCGAGGAAATATCATTATAGAAGCTCTACATATGGAATGGATTTGGCTATCAAATTGAACAACATATTTTTATGTTATTAAGCCATTGCATATATATATGCATATTTTTATGGTTTAAAAATTAAATAGATTTTGCTTATTACTTTCAGCCAGAATCACTGTTTCTCTGCAGTTAGCTTGGTTGATTGTCAGATATAAAGATTTAGAAACACAGAAAATATACCTGTATAGTGATTTTGAATTTGTTGAAATCTTTTCACAGCTATTACGTCTTTTCTGTGTATAGGGAGACCCAGAGAAATTAAGAGATTTACCTAATATGATACAACTTTTTAGTGGCAGAGCCAAAGAGAATTTAGGATTCTTGACCTCAGCCCCAAAGATAAGAGGCATTTTGATGAAGGGGAAACGTCATTAGGCTAAGGAGGCTTGAATTCCAATCCTAGCATTGCTACAGAAGTAAGTTTCACCTCTCTGGGACTGTTTTCTCCCTCAAAAGGGGGCTATTGCATGGTGGTGGCAGTCATTACTTTTTTTGGCTATTGTAGCATGTTGAGCCTTCACCATGTGCCAGGTACATGACACAATTTATTCTCTAACCACTGTTTTCAGGGAAGTGCAGGCTCAAGTCAGGTAGGCTTGAGTTCAGATCACAACTCACTCACTAGTTCTGTTTTCTTAAGCAAAATAACTTCCCCATGGCTCAGTTTTTTCATATGCAATGTAAGTAGTAATAACTCCTGCCCTATAAATTCATTGTGAAACTTAAGATAATGCATGCAGATAAGCCGGGCTCGGTGGCTCAGCCTGTAATCCCACGCCTTTGGGAGGCTGAGGTGAGTGGATTGCCTGAGCCTGTGGGTTCCAGACCAGCCTGGGCAGCGAGACCTCATCTCCACAATAAATCAAAAATCAGCTGGGCATGGTAGCACATGCCTGTAATTCCAGCTACTCGGAAGGCTGAGGCGGAAGGATCGCCGGAGCCCAGCAGGTCGAGGTTGCGGTGGCCGGGAGCAGCCACTGCACTCCAGTCTGGGTGACAGAGTGAGACTCCAACTCAAAAAAAAAAAAAAATGCATGTGGATAAAGCACTTAACACCATCTCTGGTAAATGTTGATGAATATAAACAAGTCTAATTTTGATTAACTTTTTTATTATTAATACTAGTAGAAATAGGATGAGGCATGAGACTAAATAGCCTCTAAGGTTTTATCTGGTTCTGTCTACTCCCATGAGTCCACTGTGGGAAATAATATCACCGTGCTTACTGAAGTCCTTCTGCAGTAATCAGTACTTGTATGTGGATAATTGAGTGGCAGGTGATCTGTCATCAAAATGGCAGTTAATTACTTTAAATTATAGTTAAATTATTTCTCATGTGCTCAGGAAAATTGACTTAAATTCTGATGAAAATTGTCTATTTTAATTTTTAGTGCATCAATGATTTTTTAAAAATATTTATTATGAGTACACCGTTGAAGATTGACTGTAAAGACAAAGTTAGGACGTGATAGCATTGTGTAGGCATGCTGTTTGTGACTCTGTATTTAGAACTATTAATTAAACTATACACTCTTTTTGAAGGCTTGAGAGGTAAGACTGGACCTCTGGGTCTTGCTGGTGAGAAAGGGGACCAAGGAGAGACCGGGAAGAAAGGACCCGTGGGACCAGAGGGAGATAAAGGAGAAGTAGGTCCAGCTGGACCTCCTGGACCGAAGGGAGACAGAGGAGAGCAAGGGGACCCAGGGCTTCCTGGAGTGTGCAGATGTGGAAGCATCGTGCTCAAATCTGCCTTTTCTGTTGGCATCACAACCAGCTACCCAGAAGAAAGACTACCTATTATATTTAACAAGGTTCTCTTCAATGAGGGAGAGCACTACAACCCCGCAACGGGGAAGTTCATCTGTGCCTTCCCAGGGATCTATTACTTTTCTTATGATATCACATTGGCTAACAAGCATCTGGCGATTGGGCTGGTACACAATGGGCAGTACCGGATAAAGACCTTTGACGCCAACACGGGGAACCACGATGTCGCTTCTGGGTCTACAGTCATCTATCTGCAGCCAGAAGATGAAGTCTGGCTGGAGATCTTCTTCACTGATCAGAATGGCCTCTTCTCAGACCCAGGCTGGGCAGACAGTTTATTCTCTGGATTTCTCCTATACGTTGACACAGATTACCTAGATTCCATATCAGAAGATGATGAACTGTGATCAGAGCCAAGATCCTGTGGCAGACACTTTGCTTTCATCCAGGGTTATAGATGGTGGAACAGGCAGGAATGGAAATCAAAGCGATTCCTGCTTAGATTCTACAGCATTTACAGACAATCCTACCAGAATCTATCAGAATAAGTAAGGTGAACCACCAAACAGTTTAAAGTATACCAAAATGAATGATATAAAACAATAACCCCCGAAATGAATTCTTTTAAAAGCAGTGTTCGTAAATATTTAAACAAATTAAAGACAATGTTAACACATTTTCCATTAAATGCCCTGAGTGGTAAAACCAGCTGGCAATAATACTGCCTCATTAAATCTTCAAAAAGTTACTTTTTATTTTCCTTTTATTTAAGAGAATCGTAACATCCCAAAGTTTTTGACAATTCTCAAAAGGCTGTAGAAAGTCTAAAACCAAAGGTAAGAGATGCTAAGTATTTACAAGCAAGCTAAAGTGAAATGATAAAAGTCTTTTATTATTATTTATTCCGTCAGGCTTGTATATATTGACTCAACAACTCCTTAATGAACATGTATGGACCAGACACTGTGGTACTGGGTCAGATTTAATCATGGGTTAGGACAAAATCCCTACCTTCCTACAGGCTACCCTGTGTGAGCATACTATCACAATTCAGTGTGATGAGCATCAGAGCAATCAGATTGATTTGATGCTAGAAGCACACAGGATCTGCTATTCCTGGAGCTGGTGGCCAGAGGTCTTAAACAAGGAAAACACTAGGCATGCCAAGTGGGTGTATGTTTAAGTGGGTATGATAGACACAAAGGAAACAAGGAATTCAACATCTGAATTCTCCCCTTCCCAGCCTCAATTGGGAAGAGGTGAAAAACTTAGAGATACAGGATTCCTGGGAGGAATAGTAAAATGAAGACTGAAATTGCCAGAGAGGGCAGTCCCCTAGAGTCCCCTCATGCTCTGGGAGCTTTTCTATCCTCTCAATAAATCCTGTTGCTTTCTCAAAAAATAAAATAAAATAAAGAAGGAAGGAAGGAAGGAAAGAAAGAAAGGAAGAAAAAGAAAGAAAGAAAGAAAGAAAGAAAAGAAAGAAAGAAAGAAAGAAAGAAAAGAAAGAAAGAAAGAAAGAAAGAAAGAAAGAAAGAAAGAAAGAAAGAAAGAAAGAAAGAAAGAAAGAGAAAGAGACACAGCAGGTCATTCTCCCAAATCCTTTAAGGCAATGGTTTCCCAGGACATTTGTCCTAATAGCTTTCTCATAAATAAAGGCACTACTTTACATTGTGCTAAGGCATTGTTTCTTATGGATTTTCTAGGTTTTAATTCAAATAAAGCAAAACAGATGTCCACTGATTTATGAGAAAACTGATGGGAAGAATGAGCAGGAGGAAGAAAGAGAGAGACCAAACGTCTGTGTAGACAGAAGTCCCTTCCAAGTCTCACACCTCCCTCAGTCGTACTCTCTCTTGTGTCCACACTTGGTTCCCCACTGAACTGCGATTCCTCAGTTAATCTCCACGAGTCTGTCTCAACTACCACTCTCTTGGTTTACAATAATAGTATTCTTTTCACTTCTCCCTTTTTTATGTTTTCTAATCCTCCTTCTGTGTATTCCTTTCTCTGCTCATTCATTTAAAAAGCATTCTTAATGTTTCTCATGTTTGAATCATCACACTGGATTCTGTGAAGACAGAGGAGGACAACATGAATATGGCATAGCCCTTACTGTCAAATCTCTAAGAAAATAAGAAAGAAAATGGCATGCAAAAACACAAAAACACTCAGAATTCTGCTAAAATACGCTAAGTGCTAAACTGGAGATAGAGGCAAAATGCTGTTGAAAAAGAAGGAAATGTTTACTTTCAAATTAGAATGTGAGAGAGGGGGGATAGGGCAATCTTCTCTGCCCACTGGGCCTTAAGTGATGGATAGGACTGGGAGGGAACCAGATGGGGGAAAGGACACTTGAGACAGATGTAATGATGGGGAAAACGCATAAAAGTGAAAAGAGAGCCTGGAAGTGGAATCCATGGACTATACTTGCAAGAGCCTCGGAAGCCAACCTGAGAACTGGGGACTTTATTCGCGAGAAAGTGTGGGGTCCTCATATGTTCTCGAGCTGGGAGCTGCCATTATCAGGGGTGAAATTTGCAGCGATCAGGCAGTTCTGTGTAAGGGCAGTTGCCTCTCCTGTCTTTCTGCCCTCTCCAGCTTCCATTGTCTTCCTCTCCCCTCCATTCTTTGTCCCTTCGTTGCTTTCCTTCTGAGTCAGGACATGGGTCCCGGAGACCAAGAGCAATGAAGATTAGACCCAGAAGGGAGGACGATAGTGATGTGAGATAGTCACCTGCCTACAGATAACAGCTAAAGCTAGAATTCCAGGCTATAAAGTTTAAAACAGCCAACAGAAGTAGCTAATCTGGGAAAAATGAAAATACTGGCCCTTGAGGACTGTAGGATCAGCTGGAGACATTGGACATGGAGAAGTTATTACAGACAGTCATAAACCATGAATTATTGTGATTCAAATTTTCTTCTGATCGTAATCCACAAATGCATTCATTTTCTGAGCATTGTTTACTTACTTATCTTTTAAGTGTTTCTTTTATTACAAAGCCTGTTTTGAGAAGCTTTTTAAATTAGAGTTTATTTAATTGGTCCTAGGCCCAGAGATGAATTTTATTTTGGAATATCTCGTGGGGTGGTGATGAGGATCAGAGCGCTGACATGGGAAAGGAAGGGCTGTTTTGGTATTAAATAATACGATCTTAAGTAAATGCAGGTGTCCTTAAAAAAAGAAAAACAAAGGCAGATACAATGTTTCCACATTTATGGATAGTTGTATAAAGCAAATATAAAAACAATTTTGGTTTTCAAAATTTCAAGTCTCATTCCAGTCATACTTTGTAAGGATTGACTTGTAATGAATATGCATTAAGCAATATTTACTGATTATGTACCATCTTGCTCCAGAAGGGTTCAAAGCCACTTATAAAGATAAATAAAATATAAAAAGAAATCAACAGTAAAAAGCAGATGAGAAGAAAAGGGCAAAAAACAAAATAAAAGGAAAGAGTGAGGCTAATACAAAACCGTGTGTACATAAACATGCATCACCTGTGCTACACATTTACAGGACACGTGTGTTTCCGTGTGCCCATGCATGCACAAAGGCATTTCCGGGTGCTTATTATTATTGTGAATAATGTTGCTTATGATAAAAAACAAATTTCATAAACTCTGGATATACTTTTTTCTCTACCACTCTGTGTAAAAGATCATGAAGTTAAATAAATCTTAGATATTAATTATTTTTTGTTTTACACCTTCCTCTCTTCCTCTTCTTCTGTTGCTCTAGTTTCAATAAGTGGCATTGCGGTCACCCTTCAACCAAGCAAAAACCTAAGGTACATTCTAAATGTCCTCCTTTCCTTCCTCACTGAATGTTGCCCACATAATAAAAATTCTTGTGGTTACAGCTACAAAATGTGAATCTCCGATTCATTTCACCCTTCTCAGTACCAAATTTTCATTCATATATTCGCCACCACTTTCCCAGATCAGTGGGAAACTTTGTAACTGACCATTTGCCTCCAACAACAACCCTCCAGTCCATCCTCCACACTGCACTGAGTATGTCCTTCCAAAATGCAAATGTCCATGCCATTTCCCAGTTTAAAAACCAGCAATAGCCCTCCCAATCCCTGCAACATAAAAGCTCTCTTGAGCATATGTGGGTTTTGCTACAAGGTATGCATTTCATAGCCTTTTTTCTGGTATCAATACCTAACTTTCTTTTGAAGGACCATCTCCCTGTACATGCTAAGTCTATGAGCTCCTCAGGGGAATTGACTCTTCCAGTATGTAAATCGGAGCATAGCATTTCACCCACCAACATAATTGATTCAGGTGACTCAATCAGAGCCAATGAAACTTCTCTATATCTTCTATAGTAAAGAATCTCATTCTTTTCTATTAAGCCTGAGCCTGAGAGCCTTCACCAGCCATCCTACCATCAGGAAACGTAATACTACTTGAGAACTGAGGTCTCTACAGGCAAAAGGCTGAGATAAAGAGAGAGAGAGAGAGAGAGAAAGAGATTTTTTTTTTAAATGGAGTCACAATTTGAACCCTGACCTCGCTATGACTATGTTAGTTCTTCCCCTGGTAATCACTAAATGTTGTCTTTGTTTAAGCCCTTTGAGTATTTGGTCACTTGCAAAAGATGTTATTCTACCTGCTATTAATGCAAGCATCCTTTAGTGTGGCGCACTGAGCCCTTTGGGATCTAGCTTCTGCCTACTTTTACAGCCCATCACCCCAAATCACCCACAGGCCTCCTATAATCCAAGAAAATGCTGACAACTGCCGTTCTAGGATGCCTTGCCCTTGCACACCTCAGAACCTCTGCACATGGCGTTTCATTTGCTCTTAATGCCTAGCAAGTTCACTTCTCAAGGTTCTGCCCAAAGGTTACTTTCTTTCCTCTAGTCTTCCCCTTCCCCTGTGCCAGAGGGAAATCACATATGACTGCCTGTGTTTTCTTTACCATCTGGGGACTAGTGCACAATGACAGTAGCAACAGCAAACATTTCCTGAGCATTTTTTAAGTGATTTATATGTAGTAGCTCACATGGTCCTTGTTAGGGTCTGCATGTTTGTGTATCCTCAAAACTGATGGGCTAATATGATGGTATTGGAGGTGACGTCTTTTGGGGGTAATTAAGTCCTGAAGGATCTACCCTCGTAAATGGGATTAATGCCTTCATTTAAAACAAACAAAAAAAAAAGCCCCAGAGAGCTCTTTCTATCATGTGAAGACACGGTGAGAAAATGATCATCAATGAACCAGGAACCAAGTCATCACAAGACACCAAATCTACTAGAACCTTGATCTTGGACTTTTCAGCCTCCAGAACTGTGAGAAATAAGTGTCCTTTGTTCATAATTACCCAGTTTTTGGTATTTTATTAAAGCAACCCAAATGAACTAAGACAGTCCTCAAAACAATTTTTCTTCCCATTTTACAGACGGGGAAACTGGGGGACAAAAGGGTTTAATGTGTGAAGTAAATTGTAGGTGGCAGAGTAGCTCCAGGCAGTCAAACTCCAGAGCTGATGGCCTTCACCACCAGGCTAAGGCACACTCGTATTTTTTTACATTTGTCTCTCTGAGGGAGAGCTTGTCTTATTGGTCATTATATCCCAGGACCCTACACGATGACTGCGTAGCACGCGCTCAATAAAAATGTGGTGAATTAGTCAGTGACTCATTCTTTTCAGTTACAGTGTATGCATGTGGAAAAGCAGGGGAGGGCCACAGTAAGAAAACCCTATAATCATCTTGTTCATTAGTCA